CAAACTCTGTGCCTATGAAAATTAGGATTATGTACAGAAGCGGTGACACTAGATAGTGAAGAATTTTTTGCATATATTTTTTACCTTGGTTGGCGCCGTGTAAATTAAGCCCATAGTGAAGAATATCACAGCACGATAGCTGCAGCACGAAGTTCATAGCAGCGTGCACATGCACACACACACACAAGCATTCAAAGCTCGTTAAAGTAAAACCTCATTAATATGTAAATATATGCCGAGAACCAGGTAACTATACACTAAACAGAGTATGCATTAACTACCTAGTACATAAGCATGTGCAGGGTTCCCCTTCATGGAGGGGGGGACAAAGGTTTGTTGCAGTGCCCCCCCTCAGTGCATGCAGCTAGCTTTGCGTCCCCCGCTCGACCCTCCTGGCCCTGTTTACACGCCTATGACCAAGTACCAATTCGCATTTCTATATGTGCGCTCACCACTAAAGAAAGAATAAACACAGTGCCACAGCAAATATTGTCTGGAGTGCCCAACATGAAGCCATTTCTTTATTCTTGCCAATGTTCAGGAATGGCTGGCGTTTTCACACAATTGTCGTCCAATGGCATGCAGTGATGACACCGAAAAGCATTTCGAAACTACTGTGGACTCCAGGACAGACAGCGACTAACATAGCGACGTACGAACATAATATGATGTCCACGATAAAAGTGTACCACGATCTGCTACTTAGCAAAGACTGACACAGTCATTTTTAGACGCGGTACGGTCACCGGGAGCCGATCGTTGCGCAACTAACTATTTGTGTGCAGTGCTCTGCCTACTTGGCGTACAAACCATGCCGACCCGCTTGTGCCCACTCCGCTTGAGACTGTGCACAGATGTGGCAAAAAGCTTGTTGCATTAACGTGACGATGCGCACTTTCTGCAAGCGATGCTTTAGTGGTCCTGCCAACAGACGGAGGCGCATTTGGGCTGTCGCCTCATGAAAGTGTGTGCTACTCTTGCTGTCTCGGTGCTCGCGATCGACAACACTCAGCTCCGTAACAACAAATCGCTTTCGTTTCTGCAAAGCGGTGCTCGCTGAACACGGTCCCACACAAAGCGATCGGCACCTCAACACTGCTATTAAAAGCGTGCAGTAGGCTTAAACCGGTGCTATGTTACACACATAGGCTTTTTGTCGGCGATAAGTCATACCGGCGCGCCTTTCAGTAGTCACCACATCGCCTTCACTTTTTTCCAATCGTTATGAGAAAAGGCACCGCCGCAATCGTGTTATAGTTTGAATAATTGATCAGCCAATTTCGTGCTTTTGCAGCAGCGCACATGCATAAGATGGCCACCATCACGCAACATCCGCTCATGATGCTTGCTGTCAACATTACTTTTGGTTCCAATACCACCTTGTGGCGCAGCATTGGCGCAAATTAGACAAAAAAGGACCTTTGGAAAAGTATGGCGCAGGTTTTCCACCACTGCTCTTCATGACTGTGATACTTATGTGATGTGGCGTTTGGACATCGGAATCGAATCATCTTTTGAGGGAAAGGACCAGGCTCTGGTGGAACTTCAGGCATTTGAATCGGCATCAAGTTATACTGATGCTACAAGGTTCCACTGAAACCACAAGTTTCAGCCAGCGATAATCGAAGATAAGATGAAGGCTCTAGGCACGTGCATGTGGACTGGTTCAAGGAACATTCCCAACTGTTGAGGCACCATGGCACAGCGGAGTTTAAACAATGAACAGACAAGCTAATTTGAAGTACCACAGCCACAAGAGGATGCCTATTATACACCTCATCATGCAGTCATTCACGAAGATGCTGTCACGTCAACGCTTCGTGCTGCAACTGACGCCTCATTGCGCGCTAGGTCATACCTGTCACAATGATGCCCTGCTGAAGGGTTCAAAGCTCGACGCTGACAGTATGCCGCTACTACTCGTCTTTCAGAGCCAACCAGTCGTCCAGTGAAAGTTCGTGGAAGATCCTTGGTGGGGAGACTGGTCAGAGTGCATCATCCGATAGACAGAAAGCGCATCGAAATGGTAACTTGTGTAACAGTCTGAATGCCGAAGGCCTTGCCGCTGTGAGCTAGGAAGTATGTGCCTATGTATGACTGTAGTGCATATTCAATGTCACAATAGCTGAACAGAGTTCCGAGTGCATACAGGAAGGAACGATATTGCGCACATCTTTCAAGGCGACTAACTTCTGGAAACACATAGAAAGCAACTTGTTCAGTTATTATATATTCTGGAGGCAAGTCAGCGAGACTTCACTGCCCAGTGATAGTTTTGGCCTTTTGGGAATATGTTGATCATGGCGTACGAGCAGCAACATAGAAGAAGAGGATAGAAAACAAGGAAGATGTTCAAGACAAGCAGTGGAATGAACATAGATGTTCTTTGTGTAGGGTTCAGGTCTTAATTACGCGACACTAAGCATGGAGGCATGACCTCAATTCAAAGCATCAATGGCTGCACTTTGACTCTGTTGAATGCGAAAATGCTCACATAGAAGCCATGCATTGGGTACACAAGAGTACCACTTGGTCAGAATTTGTGCAGAATTTGTTATGACAATGTGCCTCAATTAGTATAATTAGGTTTGGCTCGTGAAAACCTCATAATGTAACAAATTTTAAGCTTCAATTGGCTTACAAGATGCACTTCATAACAAATTTATTCAGTGACCTGTGCACATATGTTTGAGAAGTCACAATCTGGGGTTTAATGTGTTTAAACTAGTATATAATCATGAAGCACATGGCTATGTTTACACTTGGGGCTCTTTAATGTTCTTCCATTGCATAACACATTTTTGTATTTTGCCACCATAAAAATGTGGCCACCATAGCCGAAATCCCATCCAGTGCTAAGCATAAGTGTAATACCATAGACACTAAGCAACCATGGTGGCTTAAAATGAATTATCGTGATAGCATTAATCAACTTGTTTCACAGAAGTTACGGTGGTATCAGTGCAGTTGCTTGCTAATGAAAATCAATGCTGTCTGTGAGTGAAAATTCTAGATAGACACAAAAATCTTCGGTTCGTGTCGTAATTGAACCCAGGACTTCTACGTGGCAAGCAGGTGTTCTACCACAAAGGTACTTGAAATTTCTTTGGAAAGAAACACTACATGAATGTTACGTGGTGCGAAGAGTGCTGTTAAAGGGGCCTGGCAAAACTATTTGTGCATGGTCAGAAAACGCTGCTGACTGGTAGTCAAAGCTTCTGAGAACACGTGAGCCAATATAGTGTAGCACGCAGCCTGGAATTTACATCAAATTCTCATTGTCAGCCGATTTATTTGATATGTGGGGTTCAGCGTCTCAAGACTATAATATGATTATGAGAGACACCGTAGTGGAGGGCTCCGAAAATTTCGACCACCTGGGGTTCTTTAACGTGCACCCATATCTGAGCACACGAGCCTACAACATTTCCGCCTCCATCGAAAATGCAGCCGCCGCAGCCGGGATACGATTCCGCGACCTGCGGGTCAGCATCAGAGTGCCTTAGCCACTAGACCACCGTGGCGGGGTCTCATTGTCATCTAAAAATAGCTTTCTCTTCTCTTGAAAAATGATACTATTTACTAAACAACCATTATGTCATAGGCCCAAGTGTCACACCATGGACTGATTTGAGCGTGATGCCCTCGGGAGTTTCTGGGGCCTCCGCAGCAAGCCGTGACCTGTTTGCATATGCACGTACAATCACACTGAAAAGCCGAGAGTTGGAAAAAAAAGGAGAAAAAAAAAGTGCCCTAGGTCAAGAGGTGTGCATGACATATTTCTTCCCCCGTGTTATCCCTCTCTCCTTTGCTTCCAGCTCTTTCATCAGGATGAGTGAAGAGGGAAAGCAATAGTAGCGTGCGACATATCCTTGTACCTCCGCTTGTACTGAACAGATTCTAAAAATTTTTGACACAGTCAATTCGTGAGCCAACAAACTCCTTTAGCAAATTCATTCCACGGCTATTTGGGAAAGTGTTGCAGAGCCCCTTTCACACATCTAATAATGCATGGCAAAAGCACAGAGGCACACCAGGTATTGAAAAATGTGAACTGCACAACAAATGGTTGGTTTGAAGGTTTACCCATTACCAAGCACACAGGCATAATAATTTATGATTATCAACAATAGCTTTAACATGTGAAACTATACAGGTCTACGTGTTGCCTCAATAATTACGCAGTGGGCACCTTGCTAACACGTAAATTACGTAAATTATGTCGTAGTGGGCACTTTGCAACTGTAGTTCTGGCAGGCATGCCAGGATAGTTTGAATTGGCCTATTTAGAAAAGCGCATATACGTTTGTTTCTTTGCAGCACAGTTTAGGTGTCCACCAAAAAGCAAAACAGGCTAACTTGAGCAGCTAGGCAAACAGGGTCCAGTTACGCTACTATTGCATTCTACTCTTGAAGGTGAAACTCAAGCATCCTCCCAGTTTTTTAATTTAATTGTTTACCTACATATTGGCCACTGGGCCTTGCAGTAGGAGGGGGGGGGGGGATATTTACAAACAGCAGTAATCTGCATACACATACATTGCAATGCATATATGCAATCAAATTTATGTATTGGACATGTCACACAGTACATAATAAATGAAATAACCCTGCACTATGAAGCTTGAGCAAAATGGTATTTATGATGTATACTTATACCCTTAGTTCAAATGCAACCAAGATGATTATCAATTGGTAATCAGCACCAATTCTATTTTTCTCATTGTCTTCGATTCAGTAATACTCATGTAGCTTACATGTCTTTGTGGCTCTTACATGCAAATTTGCAAGATGCCTGAAAACCTTGCCATGTTCAACATTTCATCAAGAGGTCTTCTTTCAGAGACACTGAATCAGCTAATAGTTTGTGTTCTTGATCCTTATCTTTCATACCTTTTGTGCTGTTTAATGCACAAATCTAGTATCACCTTACCTAGCACAGGTTGAACTATGAAGGTAATTTACAAGCAGTAGCAAAAAGTTGCTGAAGGAACACTTACTGTAAGGACATCATTTTCATAGCGGATGACAACATGAGTATCATGATCAACATTTCTAAACTTGGCCTCGCAACCAGCTAGTTCAGTGTGGGTGCCATCCCGATCATGGTCGTACGACAATGATCCGTTGTTGACCATTGCAGAAATATAGGGGTGGCCGTGCTACAGGAGTAAAATAATCAAATGTCAGACAGTACAACAGAAAAAAAAAGCACATTAGCCCCATTGCAAAAACCATATCAGAATCTAAATTAAAGAACAGTCAACCAGCTAAATGTAAAATGATGTCTGCCAAGGTGTCAAGCTTACAAGGATACAAATGAGATAGTGTCAACAACACTACCTCAACACTATCTGGCAACAAGACCAGTAATATTACAGTGACCACAGTATGACAAAAATGACCAATTAAGGCAGGTAGTGTTTCAAAGAGCATGCATGGCATGTAGTATTACACTGAGAGCCACTTTACACGAATACAGGAGAATATGAAACATTAAGCACACAACCTTCATTCAAGGCCAGAAGAGCAGAAAAGAAGTATCTTTAGGTGCTTCCAATATTGCAAGAATGACTTCCCTTCAACTAAATATCAGCAAAAATAATATGATGAATCGGTTGTAACCGCACATGACGACTTGGTTTATTCTTGGGAGCGAACAAGCCCCACGAATGAGAAGCAGCACACACCCAAAAAGCCATGATAATTACGAGCCAAAACAGACGATGACTGACTGCTCCTCAAATGAGGATGAAGTGCGTGACATATGCCTACAATACTATTACTGACAATGCTCCTATGATCAAGGAGGAAGGAAATGAATGAAAGGCAGGGAGGTCAACCAGACGCACATCTGGTTCCCTACCCTACACTGGGGGAGAGGTATGATGGGAAGACGAAGGACTCAAATATATTGCTTGAAAACACTGAATGAAGTAGTATACTTACAATGGGGAGGAAAGGAACAAGGAAAAGCGTTCATTAGGCTAAACTTGATATAAAAACTATGCTTTCAAGTAGAGTATTTAGAACAATTTAACGAGTACTTCATTTTGTGATTTCATAATAAATATGCTTAAGAATAAATTGCTATGACATTTTAATAATAAAACTGCAGTACAACTCAATTTTGACAATTAGAAAAAAATAAAATAAAAAGGTAAAGACAAGCACAATTTTTCTTCAAAAAATGGAAAATTTATTCTTCTGGCTGTTCACCATCCAAAAGGCTGTTTTATTGGCTTTGCTATCACTTTTGCAAATGCCTCTATTGCATATGATATCGCTACTTTGACAAAGCCAATATATGCCAAGTTGCTTATGAAAAAAGGCTGCAAGCTTTTCTTTGAGGTTTGGATATTTTCTTCCTGAAGACATGCAGCTGATGATTTTTGTTTACGCTACTCACATTCACAAGGCTTGGGCACACAAAAAAGACATGATGCAGCTATATTTAGTGTGCAAAATGACCTTCCTTTGTCGTGAACTTTGATAATGAGAATGGCAGATCACAATTTGCTGTATTTCATTGGGAACACATATGACACACACAGGCATTATGCAAAACAATGCAAATTGATCACAACATAAGCTCAGGTACCATTTTAACAAAGTGCTCTTCTATCCTCTCCTGTCGTTTGCGCTGCTAAGCACTTTCTTCGTCTACCAAGTGCCATTGAGTGACGGCGATGAAAATGCATCTGACTCTCTGATGAGAGTGCTAGCGCCGCATATGTGGTTTCGGCTTCATGTGATTATAATGCACAGACAATCTTTGTTCCCGTTTTTCCTTTAATTTGGCTCACCCCCCCCATTCCTTGCATTTTCCTCTCTAGCCAAGCTCTTGTCATCTTCTGTTCTCCATAGTACTCTTGTTGGGGAACTGAAGAACGCGAGGAGAATACGAAAGGACGAACGTTTTTTGTTGCTTTCTTTGCTAATAAAGCTGCCCTTTTTCCACCTACAGGCTAGGGGTGAGGAAGAGAACAGCTTTGTGCACTGATCTTCCTTTTCCACTTATCTCGCTTTCTAGCTCCACGTCGCAATTTGCTTTCGATTTGCTTTGGGTCTTTGCACCAGAAAGCTTTTTTTCTTAAATTAGTTAATGAATTTATTTATTATTTCATTTTGCTTTCTCTTGTTCTCCTGAATGCCCCCATAAAGACTATAATGTTCGTTGCACAGAATCTCCGTCATAGTCAGATGCTGCGATAGTTCGTCTTAACAGAAGAGGCCTGTTACACAGTTTGTCTTAAGCAGATTTTTTTTTTTTTTTGCATTGAGTCTACTACAAACCAAACAAACACTCCTGTGTTGTTTGTCTTAAGCAAGAGTTCATCTTAACAGAGTTCATATTAGCGGGAGTTTAATAATTAGTAAATTACTCCTTCACGATTCCACAATTCGAAAATCATCATACTTGCCACAAGATGCTTAGTTAGCGAGAAAACATGAAAAAAAAAAAAAAGCGAGTGGGGACATCACCTTGAAATTCCTGTACCAAACATTCTGACATCATGGGTTTTGACAGCATCTACTGGGTTTTATATATAGTTTCTAATTACTAAAAATAAAGTACAGTGCCATCCACTGTTATGGTGATCACGGCTTAGTGTGGCAGCACTCTGCGGAGTGCCAATGTAGCTCACTGAATCGAAGCGGCACAGGCACACACAAGAATGCCACTTAAGCAAGCGAGACTGGCGCTTGACTAATACCATGGCTACTACAGAATGGTGCGCTCAAGCAATATAGCAGACGACGTAAAGCATTCGTCGTGTGTCCATGTGCGCATGCGGCACTACGATTCGATGCATGGCCCCACCGGCCCACTGGCGCTGTGCAGAGCACTTCCACACTGAGTTGTGTTCGCCCTAACAGTAGATGGCACTGTACATCGTCTTCCGAGGACCCATGGAGTTACCATACTAAGTTGCAGAAAATTTTGTGATGCCAATGTTGCAAAAATACAACAAATGCACTTCGATATCTGGGACATCATGAGCGTTGATTTCAGAGCGGATATTAGAAATTAAGCTCTGACCTTGATTTTCTCTTTATTTATAAGCCTATTTTAAATTGAGGACAATAGAGTTACCAGAGTACAAATTACTAAATTAAACTTATTTACTGTTTCCCTTTAGTGCCCCATACATACAGTCGAATCTCGATAATTCGAACTCGAAGGGGCCCAAAAATTCGAACTGAAAGAAGTTGGAAATAATGAAAGCTAAATGAACGGAGGGCTCACCATGCAGCAGCGCATGTGCATTGAGCCAACACACAAGGGGGAAGTTTCAGAAGGCTTACATTTATTCACAAATCACAGGACATCCGTCATTAATTGAAGTAATCGGTGATGCACGTCTGCACACGTTTGCCTTGCAGCGAGTCAATCAATTTCGCACGCAGTTTGCAAAGCATTTCTACTACGGCTTCAGCATTCTCCTGGCAAGAAAAGTTGCACGCGGCAATGTCCAGCGCCAACACTCTTTTGAGATGACTGCTGCCGGTAACGACTGCACCTTCCCTTCTACCCTCTGCACCGCAGCCGGAGCGTGGCCAGCACATGACGAGAAAAAAGGAGCGTCTTCACACGGAGAGAAGCAGATCGGCATTTGAGAGAGAACCAACACACCGTAGCTTCGGGCGTGGTGCTGAGAGCATTTTGGAGCACGGTATGTTCGAATTAACCACTGCAATACTTCCGCGTTCGAATTACAGGGCATTTTTGCCCATTGGATTACACATAGCTTCGATAGGACCACAGCTAATAAGTACGTCTCCAGTAATCTCTGAAGAAGGCATTTGTGCAAAATGCTTTGTGTAAGAGAAGCTCAGTTCAACCGTCTACCATGCATGTGAACAATACATCATGATCACTCTAAACATAGTCTTACAAAATGCACTCTCACAAACATTCACAGAAGAATGCTTACATTATGTGGGCCATTTTGGTTGGCATATGTGTCAAAAAATATTCCCAGACCAGAAAATTGATCTTTACTACCAAATACTGGTCCTGTAATAAACAAGAATCCAATAAATCAATAGTGGCACATAATTGGGAATAATAGAAAGCACACGCATCAAAAAAGATCAATTAAAGAACTAGGCTGCTATCATGTTATAGACCATTTTCCACAGCTAATTTATCTATGCAAAACTAGATGGCACCACCACACCGAAGCACCACGGCCTTCTTCTCGGCAGCGCTTTAGTAAACTAGATAGAGGTAGTGGGACGAGGGTGGTCCTCCCGATGAGGCAGTTTACACGGAAACCACTAGGCGGCGCTGCGGCGCCTTTCTCCTGAAGCACGCTGCAGTGGGTGCTTGTTTACCACACTTTGAAACGACGAGTGTGATACGTTTAACCTTGATGATAGACCCATGGTTGCCTAAAGCTCCAAGACTTGAGATTTTAAGGACACGCCTGCCAGTGAGTAAGTTTATGGAACTGCGCGTGGCTACTCAGACAAAGTGAATGCGGCCCTGCACAGCCGATGCCGCGCACGCAAAAAAAAAAAAAGATAGTGACAGTCAAATAAACAAATAAATGAAAGAATAGATCAAACCATTTTAATTAAGGCAGAGGCACTCTTCAAAAACTACATATGCGAACACTCACCCAGGCCTCTAGATCGTTCGGGGCAGAGTTTTTCGCTCTCTGTCCAAGCGCAGATACGTGAAAACACAGACGAATGAATTCTCGTGTTTGCTTCTTTCTTGTGAGTGTCCCATAAAATACCATAGGAGCAGAGGAAGTTGTTTTTGACAAGAGCCACAATTACGAATGCTGTTCTTGTGTAGCTCTGAGACAATGGGGCATGTCCATGCGCATAAATCAGGGCTGGGCAGACACACTCATAAAGGTGTTTTGAAAGTACAAATACCGAGATACATGTGTTACAAGCCTAAAAATACAAGTACTAAGAAATATTTATAGAAGGCATAACGAGATATTACGAAGATAACTTTTCAAAAAGATGCAGGAAGTATCTCGATATGCAATTACAGGAATACACATATACAAGAATACAGACACTAAAATATTTTTATGTTACATGGGTGTTGATGTTCCGCATGTACTCGTACATTAAGTATATCGTAACATTGTCGATAATGCACTGCAGATAATTAAAATGCATGTCGGCCCTATTTCTCGACCCACTAACACACACCACTGATAAGAGGTAAAGTATGCCCCTATTCAGATACATGATCAATCTCTTTTGCTAAGAAGGTTTATTCTAATTACACCAAAGTAACAGTAGCTTCTAAAATAGGCTGTCAGTAGACCTATTGCCGGTTCAGTTTCAATTCAAGACTGGCGATATAGAAAAGGCTGTCTAATATTGTAGGCGAATGCAACTTTGTGTTATAGCCACTAAATACCGAAATTTTTTTGTCCCCGAAAACACACTGACCGTGCTTCACCAGCCTTGAGCAAGATCCAAGATCGTCAGCACTGCCTCTTCAATTCTACCGTCAGTTGCGTCAAACACTTGACCACATAATAACTTGACATTCTGTGCGTGGGGCGATTCTTTGCTGATCTCCATGAGTCGCCGACTGGCAGGGCATTTTTGACTGGCTAAGCACATACAAGCTTTTCTTTCGATATTCGATACACATCGGCTCAGTTCCGACAAAAGTGTAGCGAGATAACCATGTCATCACAGTATTCCGATACATTGTATACAAAGGAAAAGTATTTCACTACTGCGATACAAGTACATTTTTCAAGTGTATCTCGATACAGGAACTCAAAAGTATCTTTGAGATACTACTTCATCGCGCTACTGTCCAGCCCGGTACTAAAAATTTTGTGAAGGGTACAAACAACCACCCTGGTCATCCAGTGTAGCCAGACGGCAGCAGTTTCATTCTGTTATACCCAATTTTATAACTTAGTACAAGCAAATAATTCTTTCGCCAAGGTTTTTCCATCTAACTCAGCCTTACTTTAATTACACCACCAAAAATACCACGCACAAGTGACTACAATCTTTAGTGCCTGCTGTCAAACACACTTTGCTGGGCCGAGGCTTCAGGAGAAAGGCACAGTGGCCCCACCATGCCGCGCACGAAGATTTCCATGTGTTTCGCCTCGCCGGCGCTCCTTGCTTTCGCTCTCCGCTCGTCCTACTACCCCTATCTAGTTCACTATAGCGGTGCGGCCGCGATGTGGCATGTGGTGGACGTTGCCCTGCAGCCTATGGCGAGAAACGGTGGTAATAGTGATTCTTGAAAAAGAAAAAATGCACCTAAATTCTGTCAGCCATAAAACAATTCGGCACAGTGCCTAAGAGAGAGAAAAAAAAAAGAGAAACAGCCGGCACAGACTATACGCTGCTCCAGCTTTACTGGCCTTCAACCCGTGAGCGCTGGCGACGAATCGGCCGGCCATTGGCGACAGTGAAGAGTGGAAAAAAGAAGGCCACTAGATCACATGTTCAAACGTGGCAGCGCCTGTTCGCTGCTGCGGGAGAACCCTCTATAGATCTGAGATACCCACAGAAAAATGTGCAATGAGGACAGAAATATGTTTCATGGTTTTTAAGCCCAAACCACTGTTGCACCACTCCAAGATGGCAGTTCCTGATAAAGGTAAAATTCAGGGTCAATGTGTACTCGTACCATGTCAGCATTGATTGATTGATATGTGGGGTTTAACGTCCCAAAACCACCATATGATTATGAGAGATGCAGTAGTGAAGGGCTCCTGAAATTTCGAGCACCTAGGGTTCTTTAACGTGCACCCAAGTCTGAGCACACGGGCCTACAGCATTTTCGCCTCCATCGAAAATGCAGCCGCCGCAGCCGGGTTTCGATCCCGCGCCCTGCAGGTCAGCTGCCGAGTACCTGAGCCACTAGACCACTGCGGCGGGCACCCTATCAGTACGTATACCCAGTGGCACATCTGCAGCTCAAAGCTTGGTTTGCAATGGCCATACTCTAGTGAATCTCACAGATACAAGCAACCAGCTAGCTTTTTGCACAACTCATATTAAACTTTCTTGGAAACTCTATGAAGTTGAAAATTTTTCACATCTACTGTTATGTAAAAGAATCTACTGCAGTGCACATGAGAGGGGCTAAAGGTCCTTGATCTAAAAAAGTAGCAATACTCTCCACTGCATATGTCTTCTTTAATTATTCGGCACGCTGCTCGTGTGAAATGAACATGTGCACTTTTTGCCTTGGTTCCAGCGGATGGGCTGTGGCATTCAATAGAGGTGTGTGAATTTGGCCCACCTGCATGCTCTGGTGTGAGGGGAAAAGAGAGAGAACGAAATGGTGATAACATCAATATTGCTGAATATAACATTTACAAAGGTTTCTTTCTTTCTTTTTTTACCATCCGATGGGGCATACTGATCTAAGCAAAGCACTGAGGCAAGTTTTACACTCCAGGCATTATTTCTGCCACTTGATAAAATACTTCTAACTACGCACATATGATCATCTGCCTAGAGCAAGGAAGAGCAGCAAGGGGTTCCGAAGAGAATTGAGGGAAAAAAGAAATAAAAAAAGAAAGGAAGGAAGGAAGGAAAATTCAGCAGCATGCGATTGCAAAATAACTGTTGTAATTTTTTTTATTGATCGAAACGTTATGTAGTTGTGCTAAGATATGTACAATTGCATGCACTGTTATGATCGGCTTGCCTGGTTTGACGCCGCTTTGTCGCATGAGACATGGTGGCTGAGCCTATCCTGATTTCTTCTGAGTCAGCGCTCTCAGAAGGCACCAAGAGCGGTGACAACAGAAAAATCGTTTTTCTAGTTATCCCAGGTCGTCGGCGCCCCTCGTAAACCCTTTGGACACGCCTGACCGATTGATGGATCAGGAAGAGTTGCTGGCCGTCGAGGCGGCTTGCTTTGTTGTCTAGGTGCCCCGGGCAAAGGGCCCAGCATCTCAGAACCGTCTGCGAACGCATTTCTCACGTTCTTCGTGGCGCCTTCGTGCCGCTGTTTCCACAATTTGTGGTCTGCCTGGCGCCTTATACCCATCACTGCAACAGACTACGAGACTGACTTCCACGTAAGACTCAAGGTCTTCTTGCTGTGCTGTGTCGTGCATGGTGTGCAGTGTTTTCTCCCTCGCCATGGGACAAACTAGGCGTGCTTCTTCCCTCTTTCCTTGGTTACAAAGGACGCGGCGTTTCACCTTCCCCTTTTGAGGGCGGAGGTGAATATCGCAATTTTCATTGGACTGTCTTGGCCTCCATTGTTTTTCATGCAGGGAATCCTGGGAAGGCCAGGACATAAAATGCGAGCGCCGAGGCGCTCCCGACAAGCTCTCACAAGCTCCGAGCAGCTCACAGAAGCTCCCATCCTGCTTCCATCGCGAGCTTCCATGATGCTACCACCATCATGTAACACGCTACTTGTACATATTATAATTAAAAGTTACTGTTAACAGCTCCCGACTCCTTTTCTCGACATCTCCCCGAGACTCGGGCTGGTTCCGGTCCTCTGGGCAGAACCCTGATTACATCAGCACAGACAAACATTAAACAATCGCATATGTTTTATATCACCGGCTGTTTACAGTTGCGTAACGATGCCAACAGCAACGTGGATATTAGCAACACCAGAAGGGGTAAGTTGATATAAAGCACTGCTGCTCGCGAAGATCATAACACTAGACACTGCTACATAAACAAACGTAAAAGGATGACACCTGACTACAATGGATGTTAACCCGACGTGACGGGTGTATCGTAGGAGTAAATTGTAGTGTCTATGAAATCGGAAAGCCAGCACTCCAACCAAAATTTGCATTTCATGAAAACATTAGGGCCTATTTGAAAAGTAGTTCCGAAACCTGCAGTGGCTCTATGGTAGAATACTTGATTGCCACGAAGAATGCTAGGGTTCAATTCCTGCTGGGACAATGACATTAATTCTTTGCATTCATCTAGTCAATGTTGCCCATGTCATCTTTATCTTAATGCTTAAACGTTACAATTGCCCATGTGTGTTATTGCCATTCCAAGGTAGATATAAACTGTCAA